TCCTCCTCAAGCCAGTTCACCATTTTTGTGCTTCAGTAGTCTCTTAATTTCGCCAACTTTTATCAAGGTGTGGCTATTTCATCGGCACAGGGCAGGCCTAAGTTTTGCTGTCGTTCTGACAGCCAATCGATATCAATCAGATCACAAAAATTACCGATAAAGTTAAAAAGCATAATTAGAAATACTTGTTACTTAAAAGTTATAAGTAGCAATCCTTTTCGAATGATTAAAACTCCACCTTTGAGATATACTTGTCTAATACGAAAAAGTCATGAAAAATGAAATAAATCAATAAATTAATTACATTCGACACATAATAATGCATGATAAGCATCTACAATAGATCCTCAATTCGCATAATGACGACTGAATTAGGAGCTTGAAATTATTATTCAACTAGTCTCATCTCTTTATTAACTGAAATTATCTCATGAAGAAAAGATTTAGAAATGTTTCGTAAGTGTCTACTTGGAAGCTGATGAATCGCAGTTGGCATTTAGAGGTTATAATTAAAATGCAACTAATTAGTTGCGATTGATTACTTAAACCAAATTAATCGGAGGGAGGGGGGGGGGGATATTTTGGTTTGTTTAAGAAAGTACATGTGAACTCAAACGCCACTACCAATCATCAAATTAAGCCAAGTGTTCTAAAAGCTTTGAAAGTCACGTTTAATGAATACTCCTAAAAAGCTGGAGTTCAAGTGTAATAAAGAGAAGGCGGGTGAAGTGGATGAAAGGCATGCTCAATCTTTCTATGAACGGAACGTTATTTGTTTCACACACTTTCCTTGACCACCATTGGACAAAGCACGTAAATCGATCAACCACCTTATTGTACAGCCTTTCGCCTGCTCTTTACAATTCGAATTAGCCTGTCGTAATACTCATCTCTCCCACATCCCACTACTCCTTCCCCTCCCCTCCCATTGGAGAACTTAACAGCTCGATGGGTTCCTAAATTTTAATTCTTTGAGCCGTTTCGCACTTTATCTTCCCTGGATACTCCTCTTATTCCATCTCGCATTTCAGTTGGTCATAAAAAAATCAACTTTCTAACAATTTTTTCACATGTCCTCAATCGCAGACAATAAAAAAGAGAGCCCTTCTTGAGGGAGCGTGAGTGAGCGATTAAGTTGGCACTTCTCAACTTGCTGGCACCTTAACCAATAGAAAGTTAACCTACCTGAAAAGATCGATCGATCATACAAATTGAAAAAGTCTCCAACGTGCCTCGAGACGACTCCTTTGTAAAATCACTCGAGGATCAAGGTGAGTGGTGAATTCGAAAAATAAATTTTAAACAAAAGAAAATGAATGAGTTGACGGGGTGTGCGATAGACTTACCTCCACGTGGAGCACCCTGGACAACGTATACTCATATGGAAAAAGTCTATTAACCGGCAGTTGGCCTCTGACTTCAAACTACCATGACCCCACTGTAAGTCATATTCGACTGCTTCCACATTACTCACCTCACCTTTTTCTACCTTTGTGTCTGTCTCTTTAACATCTTTGAAGCACTCTTCTATTCCCCCCCCCTCCTCTCGAAGTTTTGCACTTTGATGTTCCTTCCCATACGTGAAGCCCGAAGTCAACAAAAGGGCTAATGATAACTATCAAAACGCCTGCCATTTGATTAAGGGCTAATGATAACTATCAAAACGCCTGCCATTTGATACAAATAAATAAATGAGTTGTCAAGAAATGCGCACATTATTGACTGGGAGATTCACTTTGAAGACTATTTTTGTCTCCCAGACACCATTTTAACTCCTTCTCAATCTTCCCCCCCCCCTCCTCCCCCCATTCCCATGGTTCCCTGTGTCTGAATGCGTTCTCATGACGACGTAATTCAACTCTCAACTTAATTCAGGTGAATGTATTTGCCCAAAGGGTTCACAATCATAAAATAAGATAAAAACGGTGGGTATGTGCGAGAGACCATGATTGTTGATGAGTGATTAGAGATCTGGCAAAAATTGATAGAAATCTCCCTCTCTCCCCCTCTCATGCTGAATTGGACTTCTTTGAGCCCTTTGAGGAGCGCTTGGCTACAGAACGAGTTTTGTTGGGTTTCTAATAAAGGGAGCCAATGAATTTGAGACACAGTTGAGTTGAGCAAAAGTTTAATTCACTTTCCTACCTCTGATGTGGATCGATTTAACTTAACACGAGGTTGTGGAAGGTTGGGCTTCATATCCTCCGCAATAAATTCATAACGAACTTTAGACGACCTCCTTCCTGCCAACTTTTCTTCATAATCCGATCGATCCTATTTTTCAAAAAATTAAAAAGTTATTTTTTTTGGGGGGGTGAATTCACTACTCACCCTTCGTGAATGGGAGCTGGGTCGGAATTTGGCCCCTCCATAGTGACATTCGTCAACATTTTGAATACCTCGTTTTTCTCCGGAGGATATTCTGCTCAATCGATCTTCAGACTTTTGATCTGAATTCAATCTTCCAGTTTTGATACAGTCGCCTCTTGATACATTGGAGTTTTTTTTCGATAATGCAATCGGTGGAGATATCCAATAATTATCGTGTGATTTCCTTGGAGAACCTAAACTATCTGAACTATCATCATAGCTCCTAGGTGAGAGGGTCGATTTATCATCTGAGTAATTGGAATATGTCGTATCATCTTCAATACTATTCTCCTCTCCATATTCACCATCTCTCCACCTCCCCCTCATTTTGCAAATGTCTTCCTTGATGGCTCGTGGATAGTTGTGGTGACAACCCTTCTCCCTTTCAAGAAAATCGGACTCTTTGAAGTAATTACTGTCGTAGACATGGTTGCAGTCCGATTTTCCTGAAATTGATGACTTGAGTAATGAATACTCATCCATTGGAAAGAAGTGGTAGTGCTCACACTGATTGCGCTTATTCCGCTTTCTTCCCATCTTCTCCAGGGGTTCAAAATCTGCGCTCTCCTCAGAGAAATAATCATCATCAACTGAATCGGAGAGAGGCACGGTGTCTTGAATGGTTAGAAAGGAGATTTCGTCGGCATACTGAGACCAGTGTACTTTCTTGTTATTCATTGTTGTTCTATTGTCTGAGGTCTGGCTGCTAAGGAGTTGCCGTTACACTTGTGATAAAAAGTATTGCAAGTAGAGTGTAATAAATCTGTAGACATATCTCCCCCCTCCACCAATCCAAACACTAATGAGAGAGTCACTCTGGAAATTCGCAAATCCCATTGGATTGTGCGTTGGTGTGAGATGTGTTATTAATTGAAACGCAATTGAATTAACCTACTTTATGCCAACACCTAAATGCATAGCTGCTTCAAATGGTTGTCGTGATAAGTATTCCAATTTCTGACTAACGCAATTTTTAAATGTCTATAAGGGTTCATTTATATTCACGTACCCTAAAACGGCTTAAATATTAACCAAATTATTAGACTTATTAACATCAAAAGTAGGTAGACAAGTTTAGTTCCACGTGCTCTGATTTCACACCTTGGTTTTCGCATTCAGTTTCCAATTCGTTGTACGCGGCCACCTATTAGTCGAAGGCTGGAGGTTGATGCTTATTGGTGAGTGGGGATCGATATTTGGCCAATTCCGTTCAATAAGAGATGCTGCAATGCTAATTTTTATAAGAAACTCTTTTGAATGCCTGCGTTGCAACAGCGAAGAACTGTTGGCACTTCTAATGGCGTTCTACTGTATTGGAATCCATCAGAAGTAAAAATCCATTAAAATTCTTTTAACGGTGGGACTTTATTTCCCTCAATTACGCATTCTTATAATCTGCCTCTAAATTGTTTGTCAACAAAGAACATTTGTTTATGAAGACTGTAGCCGATCGTGTCAAGAGTAAGGCTCGACTTATTCTCAGTAATCAATTTGCTTAAGTCCTCTCAACAATTTAAGGGAAACACGTTTATTTGGGTTTTATGTCCATAATACGGAACTCAGTCATTAAAGTATAATTTGCGCATCATGCTGATCATGTCGTGATTATTGATTGCCGATGGGCTAAGAGGCCTCTACGATCACAACGGCACACGCTGCATAAAGCGATTAATGGCATGGACGGAGTTGATGACTAAGGGATAAGCACCTCCCCACTCGTTCCAGAATGTTCTATCACACATGCGATTCCTTAGTTCGGTCATTTTAGCATTGTGTTCTCCACAAGATGAATGTATGTTGAGTCTTATCTGTGCCATCAAAAATTACAAATGGTTGCCCACCCGCTTTGAAACACGGTATGAAGTGTCAAATATATCCCTTACAATTGACAATGCGTCTGATTTGACACACTCAATCTGACTCTGGGGGTGTGCGATAGACTTACCTCTACGTGGTGCACCTGGGGGAAGTATACTCATACTGGAAAAAGTCAGTAAACCTGCAGTTGACTTCTCACTTCAAACTACCATGACCCGACTCTATGTCATTTTTGACCACTTTCATGATACTCTTCTTACCTTTTCTCTGCCTTTGTGTCTGTCTCTCTGTCTCCTTTGGATCTGTGATTCATTTTTCTGTCTCCCTCTCGACTTTTCCTCACTTTGATGTTCCTCCCCTCTGTGAAGCACGAAATCAACTAAAGGGCTAATGATGACTACTAAAACGCCTGCCATTTGAAATAAAAATAAATAAATATAAATTGTGGGTTGCTGCATGTTATAATATGGTACCTGGCCCTCTTGGGATCCTCAAACGTCAACTCGTCAGCACTGTTACAGACTATTTCGTATTTATGTTAGCACCTAATTTTACACGAAAGTTTCAATCGATGAAAAAACTTGAGAAAACTCATCAATCTACGCGCAATTAGAACAAGAAATTCCACCTAAACAGTGTGTGCGGGAAAATATGAGCAGAGTATTTTAATGAATATTCTTCCATTAAAAAGAAAAATTTGTTAAATAAATATTATTACAATAAGCAATGTTTAATTTAATAAATTAATTGCTATGCTAATACTTAACTTACCTTTTTCCAAAATACCAATATTCACAGCAAATAGCACACTTTGCATCTTAAATGAAAAAAATTACAATTGTGAAATTCACAGTTTACACATTAAAGTTGCATTAGGCGTTATTAATAATAGTATTATTATTATTATTTACAATTTTATATCTTTTTGCTGGAAAAATTAGTGATTACAATGCTCAATCCAATAAATAAATAACGATTGATCGTCATTTATATCGCTACTTTAAATGAATAACCTTGATGAGTAGATTTTAGTAAAGCAGTATTTTGTATCGACTCTATCAATTTTATTCTACTCTAAATGAGTCACTTTATCCAAAAGAATCAATTTGGTATTAATATTACGAAACAATATTAATACAAATTGATTCTTAGCTAGATGATCCTCTCACGAGTTCAACCATCTGCAGACAAGTGCGGTGAGCATCTAATGGAACACTCGACTATTTATTCTGTCCCCAAGTTAATGAGGATACAGGGGAGAGAGAAAGTCTTGCTGAAAATCTTTAGATATTGTGAGTATTAGAAACGCTACATTTTTTCTCGATAATCTGCTGGCAACACAATCCTTTGGATGTCCTTGACAGTGCTGTTCACTCCACAACTTGAAAATTTTGTCATTTTATTGACTTTGTAAATTCTGCGAAAATAGTTAAAAAATTTACTCCTAAAGGGCTTTAATTACAAAATGTAATGTCTTTAAAGAGAAATTTTATTGTTAATTAGTCATTAATAAGATTGCGTTTTCAATGATAGCCAACTACGAAAAAAAAGGAAATTTAGAGCTATTTTAATTGAACATTAATTAAATTGAATTCTTCATCACCTAGTAAAAAATAAGCTTCAAATAATTTCAAATTTTATTCAAATATTAATCTAATTACTCAGCACTTTCTCTGTGCAATCACCCCGTTGAACTCCATTATATTAAGATCACCGGATGTGCGGTAGATTTACCTGGGCAACTAATTCTCATTCTACAAAAAACTCTATAAGCCAGAAGTTGACTTCTGACTTCAAACTGCCATGACCCCACTATATGTTATATTCGACTACTTTCACAGCTCTCATCTTACCTTACCTTTTCCCTACCTTTGTGTCTGTTTGTCTCTTCTACATCAGTGAACCACTCTTCTGTACCTCCTCTCGACTTTTTTTCACTTTGATGTTCCTTCTCCTCTGTGAAGCCCGAAGTCTACTAAAGGGCTAATGATAACTATCATAAAGCTTGTTATTGGGTATAAATAAATATTTAACTTACGAATTTATTTCACAAACCGTGGACAACCCCTGTAATGCAGCTATTAGAATTATATTATACATCATACAAAGCATTGACCGTATTCAAAGATGAAAAATTAACGATCTTGAACCAACGATCAAATTAAGTTGAACTCCTCTGTTGCCTCCTAATTAAATTTTACTTCTGTCTTCAGTACTTAATGGACAACTTTATTTTGTCCATCTTGCATTGCATGACTTGTATCCTCGCTATTCATGTATCTACCGTGTCCCCACAAGAGCACAGCCGATTGGGCTTTTCAATGACCTAGCCCTCCATTACAGTTCCAAAGGCGTCTGACCTTAGGGTTACGCTCAATGGGGCGAGTGCTCATTTGGGCAGATGAATGCATGTCTTATAAGAGGGCAGGAGAGGGTGTCATATGGCACCCCCCACCCCCCCGAGTTCTGATCGATAGAGATGATCGAAAACTTCTCTTTCCATATTTATATGTTGCGAATTAATAGGAAAAACTTTTGCTTTCAAAATTAATTAATTAATTAATTCAGTTTTACTAAAAGAACGTAAGGTAAAAATTTGCTTTTAATCCTTCCCTTTAACGGACTTCGCAGAATTTTCTAATTGAATATTGATCGGAAATTTCTTTCACAGATTGGAGAAAACTATTTAAAGGGTTTGGCAAGGATTCCATTTGTTAATAATGCCATAAAACACTGCAAGAACACAAATCTTTGGACTGCTATCTTGTAGTCCAATTAGGTTTAAAAAGACACCTCCTCATAGAAGATTTTTTCCTTGCAAAGAGAAGCATTTGTGAAAAACAAATTTGAATTATTTTCGACAACTTTCTCAATAAAACCTTGTATTAAAGTTGTTATAAGGACCAATGAAATCTTTTAAAAGAAGTTGACTGCTGATTCAGTGAAGAAATTCAGTGAGGAAATTTTGTCAGTGTTTTTTCCTATAAGTTTCCTTACTTTTATATGTAATTATTACTACTTAAAAGTATAAGTAAATGCATAATATCAAACTTTGAAATGTCCATTAAATGCCACCACAGCGTTGCAATTATTATTCTTATTCTTATTCTTCTTTTATAATGTTTTATGATACTGCTTGTAGTGAAAGAACGAATTCCATATAGGTACTGGTTCATTTACAAACCCATGAATTTACTTCTGACTCGTTTTGTATACTAGAAACGTGTCATCTTCCACTGTTTATCGGCATGCTAAATTGATTATATATTACAGCAGAATTGGTCAAAAACTATCACAAAACTTCGTTCAAGTTAGAAATAAAATTGACTAAAGAGAAAAATAACGTTACTAACGGTGTATAAAAGGATGAATCAGTAAATGGGTGCCCATTTCTTCGAAGCTAGATCGATAATCTGGAAGAAGCCCTCATCGACCCAGCAGTAGGTCAGATTGAAACTATTGGGTTGGCAACTAAGTCATTGTCGTTTTTGTTGACGGATTCACTCTATACTTTCTTTTGTTTTGTTAACGTGGCCAGAGCATCTAACCTGTATTTTTTTCTTACTGTATGGCCTTCTAGGTTAGTTAGTAAAAATTTTTTGTTTAGTTCTTTAGTTTTGTTTTTATCCCAATTTAAAAATGAAAGAACAGGACGTGCACTTCCGACACATTTTATTGTATTACTTCCGAAAAGGCAAGAACGCATCGCAAGCACAAAAGAAGTTATGTGCCGTATATGGAGATGAAGCCTTAAAAGAAAGGCAGTGTCGAAATTGGTTTGAAAGATTTCGTTCCGGTGATTTTTCACTGAAAAATTCACAACGATCTGGCTGCCCAGTCGAAGTGGATGAAATCCATAT